GAAGCTCATGTCTCTACACTGCAAGGTTTGGATACGCTTCATCGTGTCCATCCCCCAAAGCGCAAGCAGCTACCCCACAAGACTTCAAGTCCGAAGGGCACACTTTCCCCTTCATCTCTCCACACCAACTCTAGGCAGCCTCTTTCCTCCTCCATGGGAACAAATGCCCAAGCTAGCACAGAGTACTAACACACAAAGGACTAGCGCTGTAATGAACTTAGGATATTGCAACCACAAAAACTTTCAGAAAGCTTTGGAGGAGGACTTGCATTTTCCTGAGCTGGAGTTGAGAGGACTGTCATTTCATAACTAACAAAAAAAAAAGTTTTTGTGAAGATGAATTTTAGGATTCTGTTCTAGTCTCTGCTATGGTTTAATCACAAAAATTTGGCTGTTTACGTTCATGATTTGTGCTTCTCAAGGAAAATAATTCCAAGGATAAAAGAATACTATTTCTATGTAATTCATAAGAGCAGTGCCATATTTTTCCAGTAGGATGGCTCACAGGGGAGGGTAAAAAAAAAGTTTTTGTGAAGATGAATTTTAGGATTCTGTTCTAGTCTCTGCTATGGTTTAATCACAAAAATTTGGCTGTTTACGTTCATGATTTGTGCTTCTCAAGGAAAATAATTCCAAGGATAAAAGAATACTATTTCTATGTAATTCATAAGAGCAGTGCCATATTTTTCCAGTAGGATGGCTCACAGGGGAGGGTTGCATACATGTAAGAGCAGGCTCTGATTTCATATTAACTCTCACGTCTGTTCAGGTCCCATGTAGGTAACAGCCAGCATGCTGTATGGAATACAGCCAGTCTGGGCAACTGTCACCAGAAAAAATATATCTGCACCGATGAAGGGCAAAATGAGGTGACGATCCGACAGCACCAAGACATCCCCCTGCCCCAGGTGAGGAGAGAGACTCCGGCTTCTTTAACAACCAACGGGAAAGCAGAGTCCCTCAATATTCCTAGGACCTCAGTGATGCAAGAGCTTATGGAGCTGGAGAAGCAGATCGAAATCATCAAGCAGGAGCTGCAACTCGCTATGGACAGGAAATCAGAGCTGGAAGAGTATCAGAGGACAAACAGGACTGCAGAGCCCTAGGCCAGCATACCTGGGCCCTTTCCCCTTTTCTTCCTTTCTCCCCTTCCTCTGTAAAATTTGTAACACACTTTTGTAATGCCAGAAAGAGGTGCGAAAATAAAGCAGGCAATATGCTCTTCAAGCGAGCAGAATTGCAGCAGCCCACAGCCACTGCCACGCTCCTGAGTCCTCCTCCTTTCATAACAAGTTTCTCATTCTCCTGGCAAACATCAGCCATTCCAAGGGACTGGAGAAACAAGGAGCATCTGAACAGCGAGAGTTCCTGGTTCCTCCACTTGACACTACAGTGAGGTTCCCACTTTTTAGCCCTTTCTGTGCACTAACTCAAAAAAAAAAAAGGAAAAAAAAAAGGAAATTTAAACTGCTCATTGGAAGCATGTCCCTTGTTGGTATGTTTTTGTTGTGATATCTACAGGTCTAGTCTCCGTTCATGCTAAGGCTCCTTATAGTTGCCTTATTACACCAGGTGCTAGTTCTGTGTTGGCAATCCCTTCCCTCCTGGCACAGGCTGTGGTTTCATGAGACAAATTCTTGGTGGCAATCCCAGTACACACCATTCCCTCAGCTCTGTCAGCACAAATGCAGATGTGGCTGCTCTGTGACTGTGATAAAGGAACTCACCCAGCTTAAAAATAACTTGGCAAAAACCAAATCACCACCTCTGTCTGCTTCTGAGCCCAGTTTCGGCTTCCACTCCCACCCAGAGAGAAGCCATGCAAACAGCTGCACCAGCAGGTGTGAGGGGATGGGTTCACAGTGGCACAGAGCAAGGATGAGGGGAAGGGAGGAGTGGCAGTACTGTAAATCAGTATTTACCGCCCAAGGTGAAGCATTTACCAGTGTGAAACTACTCCCTTAATATTCTCTGTCTTCAGTTGACAATAAGGTTCTTTCTCACAGCCAAAGTGACATAAAGGGGCTCTGGTCCATGATTTATTCTGACACCAAGCTCTCACCAAAGTCAAAGGCAGTCACCAAAGCCTCCCTGTGGACCAGGGCTCACTGTGAAGGAGAATTGAGAGTTATGGTTTCAAAGGCAATGTACTGAGTGGAGCTCCCTCCCACCCGGATGATGAGTAGAGGGGAAGGAAGGGCAAGCTGTTCAGCATCTGAATAAATACTGCATCAACCCAACTGACTGTGTTATTTAAACGAGATTTGTATAGATTTTTAAACACCACTTCCCAACACATCCCGTATTACAGAGAAAAAGAATGTTTGTATCACTGTCAGAATTAACTCTGGTCTCCCAGATACATCACCAAAGTCATTTTTACCCTCCCTGTATATCTAGCCACCTGCATCAACGTTGCCAAGGGTGATGTTCTCACCAGGCGTGGTTTATTTTGGGGTTTAAAAAAGGCATTCCACCTTTTTGCACCTTTAACCTTTGAAAAACACCTGCAAATTAAAAGCTCTGCACAGACCACTAAAAGCTGATAGCAGCAATACCCACGCTAATTAGCCTCATCAAGAAGAGTTCATATTCTATTCCCTGCTCAGTCCTTGGCCTCTGCTTTTGGGCAGCAAGCGTGTCTGCTTCTTTCAATACAGTCAGTAACACAGGAAAGAGTAACTAGGACATAAAACAGGAAAGTGGGATCCAGAGCCCTGCACATCAGATAGGTCTGAAAGACCTAGGATGTCCCTTCTTTCCTTGCCCCTGACAAGCTAGATGACTACAGGCAAGTCGCTTAGGTTGCTTTTGTTGCCTTCCTTTACCCTCCCTCATTTAAATAATCAGCTTTTTGGGAAGAGCTTTTTATTTGTGTAGCATCCAGTACCTTACAACCTCCAGCGTAATTTGGTTAGAACAGATGAACACTGCTCTCTTCATTATTATGAGACAAACACTAGGAAAGAAATATTTCAGCCCAATTTTATCAGTATGTTTATCAACAGTTTGTTATGTCCTTAACTCTACATGCATAAGCCCAGAAAAAGTGTGGTTTTTTTTTTTTAAAGTAATTGAAAATGCTAATGATATCTTAAACAAAAATGTTTTATTTCAAAGTTCCAATTCAAATACTCCATCTTTCAACAAATCACTCTTCATTTAAAAACAAAAAATTAAGTGAAAAAATGTCAACCACCTAATAATTAACATTAAGCAAAAATCTGTTTTTCTGGTGGGTGCCTTAGGGGCTACTCCCATGTCAAATGTAGAACAGGGATTGCTCCAAATTACTGCAGCACCAACTAGAAGCCCTTTGGGAGAAGGTCCAAGTTGTTGTTGCCCAACAGAGACACGTTTTGGCATGTTATTTTCTTACTCAAATATTGCTCTAGCCTGATCCCATAGGAGACAGAAAAAAAGACTGCCGTAGCTTTCTATGGGATGGGGAGTATCACACACATGTCAATGCCTGCAGGCTGCATAAACAGGGGGAGGATTGACTATGACATAAAGATGCACTGGAGACTGCAGATAAGGCCTTTTCTTTGACGACACTTAATTACTCTGGCTCAGACAATAAATTTAGACAGATTTTTGATAAAGAATACTTGTCACACCTTCCCTTCTTTTACCCCAGAATAATTCTAGTCTTCATAAACTTTTAATTATTTCCACTTATTCTGGCAAGTCAAAACAGACCACCTAAAATTTTCACTGTTTCTCAATGTTTAAATTATAAGCAGAGAGAGAAATTTAGTCACTTCCAGAATGAGCTTCAAGGACTTCCTGAGCTTAAAATATTATTTTAAAATAAGAAAATACATTTTTCTTGGTGGGGAAAGAGAAAACAGGAGTTTCCAGACCTCATCTGTGAAACAAATCCAGATGGTTTCAAGCATTTGTTTCCTACCATGGCCAGAGCGAACCCAACACTGCTTGTACACACACAAAATTTCAAGCTTGATTTTCAGTAGAAGGGTGATGTGACTTAATGACTGGGAAAGGGTAAAGGGGCTTTGCACCTCTACAAGGAGTGTTTAATTCAGATTGTTGTTCACAGCTGTAAAAGGAAGTCTGCTGTTACAGCAAAGCTGTTTGAAGATCCGGACAATGTTTGTTGGTGACCCAGGTCCTGGTTTTGATGAACAAACATTTGTACCACAAAATCTACCATCAGCATTAGTATTCCTAACGCACTGTTCTTTCTCCAACTTAACGTCACAAACTGTGATCCAGGGAGCAACTTCCAGTGAAAGCAGAGAGGGTTCTGCTTTCATTTCTTCTACAGACGCTGTAACAGAACCAAAGCCATACCACAAACTTTCAGCATCCCAGCTTTCCCTTGCAAAGATAGAGTCATGTGTTCCTTCTCACTTTTCAGGATTCATAATAATTTACAAGGTTTAATTAATATTTTCTGAATGTTTTCAGAAAGATAAAAATAATAATGCATACTATAAAGACAGTCTGCGATGACTTGCTTTCACTTTACTATTGTTTCTATTATTTCCTACAGTGAATACAGAAAGGTAATACAGATTTTATGATTCAGAGAAGGGACACAGATGAGACAAATCTGACAGCTGCACCTTCCAAGAAAGTTAGGTTTACAGGAAAAACACTATGCCCTGTGAAGGAATGTTGTAAATAAATGACTTTGCATTTTGATTTTAGGAGCAGGCTTCAAATACAACCTCACACAACAGGGAGCATAGGGACTACAACCTATGCCATGTCCTTTCACAAAATTCCCAGCGGCCATGACAAAATGACTGCATAAATAGTCCAGCATCTTGGTCCTTCTGTTGTGTCAGGAATAAGGTAGTGAAGATACCGCCAAAAGGACAAAGGTTCTTTTAGTTAACCATTTTTTGGAAGCAGAGGAAGGAAGAAAAAAATATCTCTAGAAGCTTAAAGCTTGTTAAAAACATTTCCAATAACTGGACAAAGGACAGGAGCACAGACATATACTACCAGAAGCAAGAAAACCAGAAAAATAACCCAGACAACAGCTTTTATTAGATTTTGTGCATTACAAGATTATTCTTTGTGGCAAAGTTGCAACAAAGTAACCCCTACAGATTCTTTTCTGGAAACTAAGGACAATGACAGCAATGCCTCAACCTAGGGGAAGATGTCCACATCAACCAGGGTTCATCAGTGGAATGCTACTGTCAAAGACTCTCCAACATCTTAGTATCCAGAAGAGCAGAAAGATAAGATGTGCGTTTGCTTTTGGGGGTAGGGAGGATGTTTACTAATGCACCAGCCTTCACAGATTCTTGCCCTGACTCAGGAAGATACATGTCTAAGGAGTCACTCCACTGAAGTCTACAGATGTACCTGTTCATTCGTTATTTGGCCCTTTAACTGGGAAACTATTCACTCTCAGAAACACCACCATACCTTGATGGGATTTAATAATTAACATCCAAAGCAAACTCCTGAAATAAAGGCCTCATTTATCTCTGCTGCACCACAGACAGCTTCCATCTCATCAAGGCAGGACTTCAGTTAGATGTTCCCAACTTGACACTGTGAGTGATGGATGGGAAATGTCCTCTCAGGCACAAAGAATCCACAAAAACTGAGGGCAAGAATAAAAGAAAAGGGACAAGAAAGGAACCAAGATCCAGCATCTGTTTCTTTCCATACCCTAACCACGCTTCCCAGAAGAGACTGCAGATCAGCTGACAGAAGCACTGACTGCCCCAAAGGTGACAATCACAGAAAGTGAAGGAGGCTAGGTGGTCAGCGTAAGCGGCAACTTTCCGTCACTCCAGTGGAAAGAATCAACCGATGTAGATCCTATGGAAGTCGTTGGCACCAAAGGCAGCATTGCACTTGGGGCACTTACGCTGCCGGGTGTCATAGCGTGTTTTCACGCACTCAAAACAGAAGACATGAAAACACTTTGTGAGCACAGCATCCTTTTTGCGCATGTTACAGCATGGGCAGGTCAGGCGGGCCTGCAAGACAGAAACATTACAGTGAGGGCCCACTGCATTGCACTAGGTATGTTAAAAGATGACTGAAGATGAAGGTCCTTCCATTCCTCATAAGGAGAAGGTGGTTTCTTCAATGCAAGATAGGGCTACAATGCCAGAGTACAGACAAGAGATGTCAAATACTGAAAACATGACTACACAGTCTTTTGACTAAAGTAGAGTTAAAGAGGGAAGTTGATAGAGACAGCTACTCACCTTGTAATCCTTGATTTCTTCCATCAGTATCTCGTCACAGTTGGGAACCATGTCAGGCTTCTTAGTGGTCTCCAGCTTCCTGCGTAACCTAGAAATATCTTCCTGCATAAAAACAAGAGACCAAATAAATGAGCAGTATATTCTCTGTCACAGCTTCTTCAAGGATCAAAGAGAACTAGCACCTGGCCAACAGTGCACCTGGCTAAGTCACTCCACCCATACTTTCATCCCCCACAGTCCAACAGACTTACGGCAGATTACATTATCATCCAGTGCCACATGTATTATTAGTTATCAGTGGACAAGAGACCTGAAAGAGCCAAGACCTGATGAAGCTGAAATCAAAGTGAAACTGGACCCCAAAAAAAAGTAGTGTAGTTGAAACCTACTCCAAGCTCAATGTACAAGGAAACAGACACCAAAGCAGACAGATATTGAAGGATCGTGCATGAGGTATATACCTCAGCCCTTTTGAAGTTGAACATCTCTTTCTCTCTAGTTACTCTGTTTTCCACGATCTCATCCTGGAAGTCATGTAACTTCTTCTGAGCCAGCTCTAGCTGGGCTTTCAGATCATCTGCAAGCTGGGCTGCATCCATGGCCTGAAAAAGAAAACCAGTATAGAAGTAACAAACATGGAAAAAGAGCTCTAGTGATTTCTAGTCCCTCTGCCTGGCAATCCAAGACTGCTCATGGAATACTCCTTGGGCTGCTGTAGATCTATTTCCACAATCTAATTTTGGTACTTCCAAATGGAGTAATTGGAATTACTCCCTAAACATTACTTCAACAGCAAGATATCTTATTATTAACAAGTTCTATAGAAGTAACAAACATGGAAAAAGAGCTCTAGTGATTTCTAGTCCCTCTGCCTGGCAATCCAAGACTGCTCATGGAATACTCCTTGGGCTGCTGTAGATCTATTTCCACAATCTAATTTTGGTACTTCCAAATGGAGTAATTGGAATTACTCCCTAAACATTACTTCAACAGCAAGATATCTTATTATTAACAAGCTCTAATCATTTAGCTTCAACATTCCTCTTCAGTAGAGCCAACCTGCAACGCACGTCACTTAGAAAAACTTATGACCACACAACTCTGTTCTTGTTCAAGTATTTTCAGCCTTCCACCTTCTAACATTTTCTCTACTAAATTGTTCAGAGGCACTTCTATAGCTGAACTAGACAGAACTGCAAGATAAGTGTTTATTTTTAATCATTTTCTCTCTTCACCAGTTCTCCTATCACTTTCTAACTGTCTCTGCACCAATGAATCTATTAGCCAAGTTCTTCCGATACCAAATTGTGATATTAAGCACAAGTGATTGTGCTGAATTCCTCCCCATCTCCTCTTCACAGTGGTATTTCTGCTTTCCTTTCTGTCTGTTTTAATGTTGTTCCTGCACTTCTACAAAAGATTTAACAACAAAGGCAGCATCAACCATAAGACTTAGTCTTACTTTACTCATAACAGACCTACTTTATTGATCTTAGACATTTGTTAAAGGTCTTAGCATTCCCCAGCCATATTTTCCTTTTACGTACCCCATCTTTCCTATAAAAGCTTTGACCCCAGCTAACTTCATCTGGCTGCTGCCTCTTCTTTCACAATAGGTTTCCTTTTAAAGGCACCTTACTTCAGTTCCCTAATCAGACTTTCACAGAAACACCTATGACCTGCTCCTCCTTATCAAAGGAAACATCAGTCTACAATACTTTAATCAGAACTCTCTTCAGGACTCCTCAGCCTTCTGGTATACTAGTCCAAAACCAGGGAATATCCGGTTTGGTAATACCAATGACAGCTAGGAGCCTTCTGTGCTTCCCACAAGACAACTCCATCTTACAATCCAAGAGGAAATCAAGAAATCACTCACCTTGCGTTTGTTCATCTCCAGGGCCTGTGTTCGGAGACCTAGTTCTTTCTCGCCTGTTCCAATACTGCTTTGCAGTAAGTGTTCCTTCTCCTCCAGCTTACGTACAACCTGCAGCTGGGCATCCACCTTGGAAAGGGAGAGAGGAGGTACAGAAGGACTGAAATGCATGCTCTGCAAGTCTTCAGAGTGGTCATTAAAGCTGCATGCTAAAACTATCCCTGCCTCCCCATCACCAAGGAGTACCTCTTCAGCTTGCCTTTTTCTCCCTGAACAGACACACTAGCAGTCTAAGAGCTATATCCAGACCTCTCCAGTGAACACTTTAAAACTTAGCAGTTAAATACTCACAACAAAGATGTCTTATTTTTTTGGAAGGTGGCTTAGAGAATTGCTGCAAGGCAGTGAACAGTTCCACCTTGGTTCCAAGGGTGGTAGAATATATATGTAGAAGTACCATTACAACAGGAAAATGACTTCCCACTTTCCTTCTCTCTCCTACTCTCCATAGCAATGAACCTGTAGGATATTTTATTCTCATACAGCAGTCTCTGTTTCTTACTATGACAGGTCCCTTTGAAGTCTGATGCAGCATAACTAGGTTGATTAAGGGAACGTTCCCCCCTTACTGATTTTGGCAGGGATACAGTTAATTGTCTTCATTATCTTATTATTAACAAGTTCTAATCATTTAGCTTCAACATTCCTCTTCAGTAGAGCCAACCTGCAACGCACGTCACTTAGAAAAACTTATGACCACACAACTCTGTTCTTGTTCAAGTATTTTCAGCCTTCCACCTTCTAACATTTTCTCTACTAAATTGTTCAGAGGCACTTCTATAGCTGAACTAGACAGAACTGCAAGATAAGTGTTTATTTTTAATCATTTTCTCTCTTCACCAGTTCTCCTATCACTTTCTAACTGTCTCTGCACCAATGAATCTATTAGCCAAGTTCTTCCGATACCAAATTGTGATATTAAGCACAAGTGATTGTGCTGAATTCCTCCCCATCTCCTCTTCACAGTGGTATTTCTGCTTTCCTTTCTGTCTGTTTTAATGTTGTTCCTGCACTTCTACAAAAGATTTAACAACAAAGGCAGCATCAACCATAAGACTTAGTCTTACTTTACTCATAACAGACCTACTTTATTGATCTTAGACATTTGTTAAAGGTCTTAGCATTCCCCAGCCATATTTTCCTTTTACGTACCCCATCTTTCCTATAAAAGCTTTGACCCCAGCTAACTTCATCTGGCTGCTGCCTCTTCTTTCACAATAGGTTTCCTTTTAAAGGCACCTTACTTCAGTTCCCTAATCAGACTTTCACAGAAACACCTATGACCTGCTCCTCCTTATCAAAGGAAACATCAGTCTACAATACTTTAATCAGAACTCTCTTCAGGACTCCTCAGCCTTCTGGTATACTAGTCCAAAACCAGGGAATATCCGGTTTGGTAATACCAATGACAGCTAGGAGCCTTCTGTGCTTCCCACAAGACAACTCCATCTTACAATCCAAGAGGAAATCAAGAAATCACTCACCTTGCGTTTGTTCATCTCCAGGGCCTGTGTTCGGAGACCTAGTTCTTTCTCGCCTGTTCCAATACTGCTTTGCAGTAAGTGTTCCTTCTCCTCCAGCTTACGTACAACCTGCAGCTGGGCATCCACCTTGGAAAGGGAGAGAGGAGGTACAGAAGGACTGAAATGCATGCTCTGCAAGTCTTCAGAGTGGTCATTAAAGCTGCATGCTAAAACTATCCCTGCCTCCCCATCACCAAGGAGTACCTCTTCAGCTTGCCTTTTTCTCCCTGAACAGACACACTAGCAGTCTAAGAGCTATATCCAGACCTCTCCAGTGAACACTTTAAAACTTAGCAGTTAAATACTCACAACAAAGATGTCTTATTTTTTTGGAAGGTGGCTTAGAGAATTGCTGCAAGGCAGTGAACAGTTCCACCTTGGTTCCAAGGGTGGTAGAATATATATGTAGAAGTACCATTACAACAGGAAAATGACTTCCCACTTTCCTTCTCTCTCCTACTCTCCATAGCAATGAACCTGTAGGATATTTTATTCTCATACAGCAGTCTCTGTTTCTTACTATGACAGGTCCCTTTGAAGTCTGATGCAGCATAACTAGGTTGATTAAGGGAACGTTCCCCCCTTACTGATTTTGGCAGGGATACAGTTAATTGTCTTCATAGCAGCTCATATGGTGCTGTATTTTGTATTTGGGACCAAAACAGCATCAATAACACACTACTGTTTTAGGTATTGCTGAACAGTACTTACACAACATCAAGACTTTGTGTCTCATGCTGCCCGCCAGCAAGTAGGCTGAGGGTGCACAAGAAGCTGGGATGGGACACAGCTGGGACAGCTGACCCCAATTGACCAAAGGGATATCCCATACCATATGATGCTGTGCTCAGCAATAAAAGCTGGTGGAAAGGAGGAAGCGGGGCGGATGTTCAGAGTTACGGCGTTTTTCTTCCCAAGTAACCATTATGCATGATGGAGCCCTGCTTTCCTGGAGATGGCTGAACACCTGCCTGCCAATGGGAAGGAGTTGAATGAATTCCTTGTTTTGCTTTGCTTGTGTGCACAGGATTTCCTTTAACTATTGAACTGTCTTTCACTCAACCCACCAGTTTTCTCACTTTTGCCCTTCTGATTCTCTCTCCCATCCTACCATGGGGGAGTGAGCAAGCAGCTGTGTGGAGCTTAGCTGCCTACCAGAGTCAACCCACAACACCTCCACCTTTCCCCATCAGTTCTGTTGTCCTCTCTCCTTCTCCCAGGTTACCTGTGTCTTCAGTGTCAAAACTTGGTCTGCCAGCTCCTCCTTCTCCTCTTTCAGCAGCTTGTGGATCTGGTTGGACTTGATGCGTTCTGACATCAGCTTGAAGTTGGCATCATCCTTCTCCCGCAGCTGCTGCATCAGGCGGATGTTCTGCTCCTGCATGTCTTCAAAGGCTTGCCCTGTGACATCCATTTCCGACAGCAGGGCCTCCTCCTCCTGCAAAAGAATCACAGGCTCTGGCAAAACTGCCTCCTGTACCCCCTACAATGACCCTGAACATTTTACTCAGAGACACCAAGCCTAGCACAGATGAAGGAAGATGTCTCAGTATCGCAGAACAGTATCTTCCCAGCAACCAGAAAAGACTGCTCCCTAGAAGTCTGCACCACAGCAGAGATGCCCTCAATTAGAAGGTGTAGAAAAGAGGTGGTCATGTCCACAAGCATTCACAAACTGTGCCTTGTCTGCTGGCAAAACCAGCTGTGACACATTCGTTGCCAGAGCTGCGCAGAAACCGACTCCCAGATTCAGGCAGATAGCTGAATAGCTGTCATACACACTAGGCCAAGAATTCTACATGTGGACAATACAACAGCTTCCAACTGACAGACTGCCGAGCCCCTTAAACTCACTTAGGCCGCTTCAACATTAAAGGAGTAAGTGACAAGATAGAACAGTTCTGTACAATAAGAAAAAGAATCTGAATTCTAAAGAAGTACATGTCAAGTCACTGGCTTGCCTCTCCCCTACTGAGGTGGTCCTGCTCTTTTATCATTATATTAAGCCCTTTTTTGTTGAAGAAGGTATGTCACGGTACCATGCACATGTATTAATTATATGAACTGTGCAGATAATACTTTTAAAAAGAAATTGTAACCTCCTCCCCTAAAGGCTGATCCAGCCATCTCTCCTCTGTGCTTTTCACCTAGGCCACAAACAATTAACCATTCCCCATAACCCCCCACCATGAGTTTTGTGACACCCTGGTGGTGTGGGTTTTTTTTCATCAGTGTTGGTTTTTTTGGGTGGTTGTGGTTTTTTCCCCCCCTTCAATGAACAGGGACAAAACTCACATCTCTGGCACATAGGGAGACGAAATTCCTTCTCTCAGGTAATCTTCCTGGCTGTAACCTGAAGGTAGTTCCTTCCCAGGTGCTCCAGCCAAGACAGAAATCATCAGAAACTACTCACCTGCTTAGCCATGGCTAATTTCTTCTGTAAATACTCAATTTGTTCCTCCACTGCTCGGATCTTGCGGAGGGCATCCTCATCAGCCATCTTTTTACTCTCCTTTTTCTCCTTGTCTTCCAATTCTTTCACCCTCTGCCTCAGTTCTTCCAGCTACAGCAAGGACAAAACAGAAATTACACTAAACACAAGAATGTGGCCTCAACATTGTTAAGAGCCTGTTTTCCGCACAATTGTCTGAAACATTGGAGAAACTGCCTTCAAAGCATGGGAAAAGAAAACTCATCTCATCTTGACAGGACAGCGTGTTACTGGCAGATGGACCATTAAAATGGGCTGCAAGCTCAAGATATGGATTTCAAAACCTCTGCAAATTCCATAGCATCTTTTATCAGAGTAGGAACATTAGTCTCTTGCAGTTGTGTATGTAAGAGTATGTGGACGGAGAGCATCTGCTCCTTTAAGACAGTCTGGTCAAGGACCTTTTTCAATACAAAAAGGGATAATAAAAGGAGGAACCCATAACCAAAACATACAGAGACACAAACCTGACAAATGATAAGGGAGGGAGTGATAAGAACCAAACCTGGTCAGTCACACTAATCAACGAGAGCATGTGAGAGTGTGAGAATGCTTATTCCAGCAAGGTTATATGACTGTGGACCCTGTCAATTGGGAAACTAAGGGGACAGGGAGGGAGGAAGGAGAAAACCAGATACAAAATATACAGAGACACAGACCTGAGAAAACAAACATGGAGACAGAGACAAGAAACAAACCTCCCTAGTCACAATAGCTGATAGACTACGAAGAAACTACAGGCACCACTTCCAGGAAGATCAACCTGGACTTTGCAACTGATAAGACTGTAAACCAGGGGTGGATCCTGGACTGGGAGGGCTGTGGGAATCGATAGAGCTGTATAAACCCAGGAGGGATGTGCAAGGGAAAGGAGAGCAAGGATGAACAAATTGGGGTTAGACAGAGAAGGGTATAAAAGGAGCTAGTCACATGTAAAATGAGGGCAAGTCAGTACACACTTGTCTGGCTCAGCCCTGTGCTTGATCACCACAGCCTGTCCTATCTTCTTGTATCTTCTTCCTAAATATTTTCTGAACTGCCTCTGTGTAATCTAACTCTCTATCTCCTGTGTATATGTGCTGCATGGAGTAAGTGCTAGCTACAAGTGAGACCTGTATGTGAAGAAGGTAAGAGGGCCCAGGATCACAGGGCTACCAGACAGACAGAGGGGCCGTGCTGGTACTTGAGGGGTCTGCGAATGTGTGTGTGCCTGTGAACCTAGAGATTGCTGTGCGTGTGCCCGCACTAGTGACGTTCTGTCTCTACCAGCTGAAGAGGAGGAAGGGGACTTGGCTGTCTATGTGTATGTTTTATGAGTCCTTTATGTACATGCTGTGGAAGGCAGCACCTTGTCTGTGGCAGTCTGACTGGCCGTGTCAGTATCCTCTCTGTGTGTATCTCTCTGGGACATGTGCTCAGCTTCACTACTGGTTGAATCTGCAACTGAGAAAGCAGAAACCATGTCCTTCCGCCTGGGCAAAGGGATCATCCCTTCACAGAGGAGGACACCCCAAAATCTCCCTGTTCATCTCCAGACCATTCCAATCTCTCTTCTAAGTGACAAAGATGAGAAGAGGAACAATCTCCAGTTTTGAAGACAAAAACAACCCAGTTCAGATGCAGAGTATCCGAAAAGAAGTTTTAAGTAATGCGCTAAAGAGAAAAAGGGAAGAGAAATGAGATTTACCTCAGCTTTTGCCTTCTTCTCAGCTGCCATCAGCTGCACTTTGTCTCTCTGCTCTTTGGGGGCAGAACGGTACATATCTAGCAACAGCTTCATCTCCTTCTGGCTCTCTTGGGCCTTCCTGGAGACAGGGAGATAGACAACTGTGAGAACACAGCAGGAAAGTTACGCTGTTACATATCCAGCATGAGAGTCAGAGCAATATTCTCTCCGTCTCCCACATGGTATGCATATGGAGTCATCCCTGGCTCATCTTACCCTGGTAATGTAAAATAGTCAAGGATTACAGGCTGGAGGCTGAGAAGAAACATGTTCAGGCACACGGGTTGAAAAGCCAAGAGAAGTGGGGTGGGGAGGAAACATGTACCCTAATAGTAAGCAACAAACTATCCATCTCTGCTTCAGTACTGATCCAAGACAGGGAAGACTACTGTGCCCTTTATTAATAACCTGCAGCTGTAAAGCTTTACACAATTGTTATGACAGCAACAAATAAAGATTACTTGACCTACACCATGAAGTATCTGGTTTGGTAATTCATGCTTTAGGCTGTCATAGAAGTGTACTACATTGTCCAAATCAGATATAGAGGGTTTCACTTCAGTGAAACTAATCTCATAAGAGCGAGCTACAAGTCATCTCACACAAACACCCCAGTTTGGGCACTACTCAAGCAGGAAAAGGAGGAACAACAACTCTTACTTGAGCTCAGCCTTCAGTTGCTTGATCACTTCAGCCTCCTTCTTTCTTCCATCTTCATGCTTCCCTTTCTCCTTCTCTTTGGACTCTCTCTCCTTCTCAGATTCCTTCTGCTTCTGCTTTTCCCGCTCTCGTTCCTTTTCCTTTTCTTTCTCTTTCTCTCGCTCTCTCTCTTTCTCTTTTTCCTTCTCTCGTTCCCTCTCCCTCTCCCGTCTCTCTCGCTCCCGTTCCTCTTCATCTCGCCTGGCCTTCATTTCATTAACATCTTCAGAAGCAGCCTTGGGGACAGACACTTGGGCAGAAGGATCATCAGGTTCCTGCTTGACCTCTGGAGGTTCCTCCTTTGTGTCTTCAGTGCTGGACTGGGACTGTAAGAGAGCACTACCACTGCGAGAGCGGATCTGTTGTGGAATAGCAAGAAAGAAGACACAGAAGAAAACAAACCATTAAGTTCTTAGCCAGAAATCTACCTTATCCCCCTTCCCTTTTCTTCCCAGATCCATGCTTGCATGCCCCCTCCATAATAGCTACTACTTTTCATGGACCACTATACAGGTACAAAGGAAGACCATTCATTTGGTAAGCGGAAGCAGCAGAGTGTAGAGCTCCACCAAAAAGTACATTGCATCCTGCATGCCATATCAGAAAGGTTGATACTGCAGGCAAAGGTGACAGCATTTCCCCTTCTCCTAAGCACTTTCTGCTCTTTTCTGGCATTTCCTGCTCTGATACCTTGCTCAAGTCAGACTGGGCCTCTCTCAGTTTGCGCTTGTATCTTAACACCTCTCCCTTCAGCTGGTGGTTGTGATTTTGGAGGCTGCTGATGAGATGACGCATCTCCCGATTAATTGGGCCTACAAAAACAGAAACACAACTGTAACAAACCACACTTTTGCCAACCTTCTGCGAGGACTTTCATGGAGATGGAGTACAAGCTAAGTGACAATGACAAAGAACAAAAATAAGACTATTATCATTCTGCCACACAACAGAGCAACACAACACATTTGCAGAAAAAAGTCATGCCAGTTTTACATGCAACCATAAGTCCTTGCAAATTCCCAGTCCTAATTTCCCCTTAACATTTTTTTCCCCACGTTCCCAGGGGAAATGTGTCATGATACAAAAAATCTCTATGATTTAAATGCTACTTTAGAAATAACTTTAGTTCCTCTGATGAAATTTGAAAGTTATTGGTTTCCTATCCAGGTTGTTATTCCAGACTTGTAAATGAATCCCCCCAAAAGTAATTTTTAGTAATGCAAAATACCCTGTCATAAACCAAATTATTAGCAAAACATATGTATTTTGCAGCATCTAAAAGGAATTCAGATAACATGGAACTGGCCTCCCATAAAACATGTGAAGAGCTTTGTTTTTTGAAATAGAGAGCCTGCCAGAACAAGTATTTAAAAATAACAAAGAATCAAACCAGGTATTTTACTGCAATGCAGCCTCTGGTGGCGTTGGGGGTGGGGTGGGTGTTGTTTGTTTGTTTTTAAGCACAGCAGAAAAACTCCATACCTGCTTGTTCATTGGCAGCAAGTGTCTGTTCAAACTCTATCCTCAACATCTCATATTCTTTGCGGACTTGTGCCAGGGTGTCCTCTAGCTGAATCACCTCTGTGCGTAGTTTCTTGTGAAGGCTGACCTCGTCCCTCTGAGGAGTAAGAAGAGGACAGAACTTGGTGCTGTAACCCTGCAGCATCTCTCACCTCATCAACATGAGGTACCAGAATAGATGAATTATTGCCAGGAAGATACATTTCCTGAGCATTCCCAGAGTCACCCAGACCCAGCAGTGATGGTCAATGGGATGACAATGTTCCCTAGCCTGATGGAGCAGAGGTGCTACCTCGATTAGTTCCACCTGGCGCTGGTGTGTGGTGCGCGTGCCATGAAGCAGGGTGCGGGCCTCATCGAGATGTGCCTTCAGCTGGAGACTCTCATTATACAAAACAGAAAACTGGGACTGCATGCAGCGATATTCTGGGGTCTCCTTCACAGCTTCTTCTACTGCTCGTCGCAGCTCAACCTAGTCAGGACACAAGAAAATGCCACAGAAGGAAAAATTATCTCCTTGTCTTTGGTATCTATTTTGCAAGGTAGGAGAACAGTGCATCAAGCTGCCACAAGCAAAGACAAAGTAGAACTTTAGTAGCATTGCTGTGAAGCAGATGCAAGTGATATGCTTCAGTATGAATTTTAAAAAATCTATGCTTTTTCTATATGCATTAGGCTGTTTCTCTTGCATAGTCACATGACGAGTCTTTGATTCTCAGGTTCTGCAATAGTTTCTCTAGAAGATATGAGCTTGGAAAACATGATATACCTTTTCAATGGATTTACTGTAAAACCATAATCACCTAAATCAATAAAGATGGACACATAGAAAAGTATGACAGAAAACTAGAGAAAATACATGTGCAAGTAGGCATTATGTTAGCTTTCTACCAGTAAGTGACATAGTGACTGAAAGCAAGAGAAAGGAGAGAAAGCAGAAGTACAGCATCTGAATTTTCCTTACAAAAAAAAGTTAACAAATGATTGTGACTACCAGCAGTGAAACAGACACATATATACACACATACAGCTTAAGACTAGTTAAGAGAAAGTTGTAAGCCAAATGGTGTTTCTGTCAAAACAAACTCATGTGGATAAACAGAATTTAGAGGTGCCTCAAGACAGTTTCTGGAATCTCATCTCTGAAACTTAGGTTATCAGCTCAGACATTTCTTGTAACAGGCTAACAGATCTACTGATCACTAAGATAAAATTTAGATTATTCTCTATATCATATACTTATCTACTACAGAGTCACAGCTTTTCGTGTTACCACCTTTAAGACGTAAGAAACCCATGCACTGTTTCCTATCTATCCTACCACGTTGGGAAAGATTTAAGTTCATTGACTCTTTCTAGAGCCTAGCTCTCCTACACAAGTTCCCCGACTTTTTCAGTTCTCTGGTTCCACTTGCACGGGGCGGAGGGAAGGCGGAAGAGGGGTCAGTACTTGGAAAGAGGTGAGATTAGTTTTAACCACACATCACTAAAATGTACTGAATAAATCAGAATGGAAAACAGGAAATAAGAAACCATTACAATTTCCAGTGATGACCACATGGTGTCACCAAGTGGTCTTATTCAAGCATAAGTCACATGAACTTGTTAAGTTGTACCTTGTACAAAATATAATCCAGCTAGCACAGAGTAGAATAGTATTAATGAGGTTTTCCAGAGACACAGTACAGCAAGACAGAGGGCAACCAAACACACAAAACACCTTCATCCTCAGATAGGTATAGATGTCTCACCTTGAGTTTTTCATTCTGTGTTGTTACTTCCTCAAGATCCTGGCGTAGTTCCTCCAACTCACTGAGGCGATTCCCAGCAAGCTCTTTATTCTCTTCCAGCTCTGCATTCATCTCCTCAAACTGTTGGGGATAAACCACTTGTAAATCCTACTGTGAATGTATCTACTGACAGTACTAATTAAGTAACTGTTTATACAGTTATAGAAATTACAGACTCAACAGTCAGGTAACATTACCAAGTGAGACAGGGTCTACTTCCATCAGGTCTGTTTCATAAGTAGGAAACTTGTACACAGACAAAATGGCTTGCCCAGAGTCACCCAGATTTGTGGCAAAGGAGGTATCTAAATTCTGTTCCAATCTATGGCCTTACACACAAGCTCTCCTTGACTTCATTTTTCCCCTTGCCCACAACCAAGCCCCTGACATTACCTTGCGGGCATTAATGGTGATTGTGCCCCCATAGAGGCTGCTCCCAGCTCCATAAACCTTGTAACCTTTGGAATTCACCTGCAAAAAAGGCAAAAGATTTCATCAATAGCCAATTAATGACAAGACTGCTGATATAGCATATTCAAGACCAAAGATGGTACTCTACAGATTCTCACAGCAAAGTATCATAAGATGATGTCACACATCTCAAAACTACACCGATTTCTCTGGTTTCCTGGCAAAGAGGATGGTGCTTACTCGTTCCAGAACATCTGCTAAGTGCCGGTTGAGCCTCTGCTCCCTCTTGCGTATCTTGTCAATATCCCACTGAAGGTCATCAATCATAGTCTCCAGAACAGACACCCGGGATTCTGCCGTCTCCACTCTCTCTTGCAGTTTCGAGAACTGCAATCAAAAGAGCGTTTCAGACAGCATATTGAATAGAATCAACGTTTTTCTGAGACTGCTCAGTGTTCATTTTTCTCTTATACATCACACCCTGGATTCATGTGCTTTCCACCCATCTTTTGCTGTGGCGACAGACTACTTAAAGAACTGTCCTGAATTTTACACTGGTTGAATCCCAAGACAGTAATGAAAATAAGAAAAACTGAAAATGGAGAAAGAGCAAGAAGCTGGTAATATCTGGCAGAGTACAAAGGCAGCTACCTCAGCTTATTCAAAGGCTTTTTTTTTTTTTTTTAAATCTTTTCAATCCATGTTCATCTACTCTACAGACCACTGAAGTGCTTGGTTGTCTAACACTGAGCAAGGCCAGCGTTAACACAGTTTTTAAAGGAACTGAAACCTCTGAAACAAATACTGCCAATAACATGGATCCGCTTTTTTAAAGGGTTTTTTTTTTTTTTTTTTTAAATCTTTTCAATCCATGTTCATCTACTCTACAGACCACTGAAGTGCTTGGTTGTCTAACACTGAGCAAGGCCAGCGTTAACACAGTTTTTAAAGGAACTGAAACCTCTGAAACAAATACTGCCAATAAAATGGATCCCTTAATGACTGGGATTATCTTGTAATTAGTGTCATTACACTTTCATACATGATGCAGAGAAACCAAGGAATTTGAAATGACAAGGATGGCACACCAAGTGTCTCAGATGTTTACACAACCACCTTAGCATCACCTTACCACTTCCTCTGCTCTGTTTTCTTTTAAAATTAAATCCATTCAACTCACTGGTTTGGTTATACTCTTCCATTCAGTGATGTAACAAGCAAATCAATCCGAATTACAGAATCTATGAACTACAGAAAATCTATGTACAGTTCTCCACAACAACAACGCTTTCCATAACCTTTGTTCAGAAGGCAACTTTCAAACCATGTTGCTCCTGTCCCTCTCCAAGGCAATAACCTGCTTTCCAAACTATGGTAACCACAAATTATTCTAAGCAGGACCCCAAAGCGGGTTTCTCTCTCTCCTTTTTATACCTCCTGAGACATGATTCGGTGCTTCTCCTGAAGAACATCAGCCAGCTCCTGCAGACGTCCATTTTCATGTGAGAGGTAGGTATTAAGCTCCAGGACTGCTTCTTCCATCAATGAAATATCTGAAAGATGCATAAAGAAAAGGAAATGAACGGAAATCAAGGAAGATTGTTTTTAATTCTTAAAACAGCAAAGAGAGAAAAAAGAAAACAGAAAAGGAAATTTCTGGTTTTAACTTCTGCTTACTGTATCTCTCCAGCAGATGGTTCCCGAGGGTCTGACCTCCAGCCACACAGAGCTTTGACTTGCATTCACTAAGCAAAAGGCTCTGCAGTTTAACATACCACACGTTTCTGACTGTCAGTTACCATCCCCTAATGTCAGAGATCATTCCAATTGTGTCAGTATCAGCAACACAGAACGTGTCCTTGTAACCCAGTGACACCCTAATGCAGATCAAATTAATGCGTAAATCTGCTACAACAGGTGGCTTGAGCTAACATACCAGATGACAATTACAGCAACTGAGTACAGGCTCACATTGCACTAATGCCAATGCTACTACGGAGTTTAAAACTGCCAACTAAGGACAGTAATGCTTTGCCACACCAATGCTAGACTTGCCAGAGCTCCTTGATCAGAGCATATAGAACACTCTGGACAGAAGGCAAACCAAGGATGAGTTGATATTCCACCTAAAATTTCATTCAAAAGATTAAAATTCTAACCTTAAGCTAATGACGTTTTTCAGAGAGTCATCTGAGTGTAAATCGAATCTGCCACATTAATTTTCAGAAGCTAGTAATTTGGCTTTCTTCTGCAGAACTCTGCTTTGTGTTCAAAACTGATGGCTACACTAGGCATACTGAGACATTAGATGGCTACCATTTTGCTCAAAACTCCATGGAAACTGAGGAGCTGGTTATTCCTACAGCTTTTACTAAATTGCAAGTGAGAAGTCCAACATCAGTTTGCAATATTGATTTCACTTCTTCACTTGTAAGCATGAAGCCTTTTATGCAGTAGCTGAGGACAGCTGGGTGATAAGGTTCAACAGTAATCTGTATCTTCTCAGTTGCATGAACACGCTACTGGTTGAAACAAGCCTTTCCTTAGCCCAACATACTGGGCAGAGTTCTCAGCATTCAAATTTAAAGGCAGTTATAATACACTTCTAGCATATAGTACTAGTCTTTATTAGAAGTTTTGGCTATCGAGAGTTTGGAAAGCTAAGCCAATTTATTTTGGAAAATAAATGAGCACGAGAAGGACTGGGCCTTAATGCTTACAAGGCAGAATCATGTCTAAGCTGGGGGTAGATGAGGATTCTTGAGTATCAGCAAGGGATCAGCCACCTTGACCATACCTCCACTATTCAGCTTGTGGGACAGCACATCCACTTTCTCCTGCAGCTTGTCGTACATCGTCACAATCTGGGCAACAGCACGGCGGGAGGACTCTACACGCTCCTGCAGCTGAGATTCTATCTCCTCACTAGTGCTGCTGGCTAGAGTGGCTAGGAAGGAGAATGCTGGCTCCAGTCCTTCACCTGGGAACAGAAAGAGGTGCAAAAAGGTAAATGCGCTCTGACAGGCAACATATCACTAGTCTTTACTATGACAGAGAGCCTCTGTCACCCTTTAGAACGGGACATTAACATTGTCCACAGCTGAAATCCATTTTTTCCCCTGTCCCCAAGCAGATGCCTCACCTCGTTCCCTCTCATCTTTGCGCTCCTGATTACTGTCTGAGTCTGGTTCAGGTTCTGGTACCACCAGTGCTTTTCTTTCAGACAAAAGGTCTCCAAGACCTTGGTCCAGGTCGAAGCGTTTAAGGATGATGCGGATATTTTCATCAAACTGAATGATGGGACAGGCAAGACAAGACAAAGAATGGATGTGAATAAACGGAGTGCAGTGGAACATAAGAAGAGACAAGAAAACAGTGTGTATATATAATAACAAAGCATGTTACTGACCTGATTCCAGTATCGATTGATAATCAGCAGGGAGGCATCATCAGTGGCCTGCCGACGCTCCAGTTTCTCAATGTGCTCCCGTAGCTCATCTTCAATGGCTTGCCGCTGGTCCAGCATTTCTGCTAGTTTCCGGTTCTTGGTCTGTAGGGTCCGGATGTCCATCTCCTCCTGTGCAGAGGCACAAGTCAGGGCACATTGCACACAAGCCAGATCACTGGGCTCATACAGAAGGCAGAGATATTTTTTTTTTTTCCAGATGAAAAAAAGCAAGAGGTTGAGTAGGGGTGTGCAAGGAAGACATACCGTTGAAGAAACACCACCAAGCTTAATGGTCTCCACTGTGGTCCCTGAATCTTCAACCCCCGCCTTCTTCTCTGGAGGTGCAGAAGGGCCAGGCTCTCCAGCTGTCCGTTTATTGCCAATTCCAGACATGGTGGCCGAAGCATATAGACTCCCACCTTCTTTAAGTTCTTCCTGAACATTAAAGAACACTATTAAAAAAACCCAGCAAACACACGCCCACACAATCAACTCAATTTAGGGTTTTTAACATACTGATCCATCATGGTAACAAGATGCCCGACACAGTACAGACCATATAACTCAAAAGGTTTTGGAAAATACTGGTCAAACATTAAGTCTTTAAAGACACCACTAGGATTAGCACTGCAAACAGCAAGCTGATGGGGAAAAAATCCACTGTTCTGTAATGTTAAAATGGAAGCACTGTACCTTATCACGGTCTTTGGAAAAAAATCTTCATGCAGGTTCAGTCTCTGCTTTTTTGATCTCTCTCTGTATTAACAAAAATGATCTGGGTTAGACTTTAACAGGCAACTGAGACTGTGTATATGTGGCACCAGTGCAGTTCATACCAACCAAATTGTTCCTGTTATATCAATGTTCAAAGTCAGTTAAAGTTGAGGGCAGCAACACCTTGAAGATGAGCCCTGTAAGAGCTTACATAGTGATCTTACAAATCCTACGGAACTGAACAGCGATTCTGAGCCAAGGTTTGTAAAGACCCATTTGAAGAGTTTTCCTGTGTAACAGCAGAGACACAGACATGTTTAAAGAGTTCTTATCCCGAGGTTAATGTAATTTGAAAAGCTCTGGACTACTAGTCACAGAATCACAGAATAGTTGAGGCTGGGAGGGATCTCTGGAGACCACCTGCTCAGTGCTCCTGAATAAAGCAGGGTCAGCCAGTGCACGTTGCCAAGGCCCTTGTCCAGTCAGCTTTTGAGTATCTCCAGAGATAGAAACTTGGCAATGTCTCTGGGCAACCTATCCCAGTACTTGATGACCCTCAGCATTAAAACAGTTTTTTTCTTATGTTTGAACAGTATTTCTTGCAGTTCCCCAAAATATTATTTAGCAAAATCACAAATATCTCCTTAAAGGGTTTCCAAAACAAATACAGCAGCTAGTGATGGAAAACGAAACCAATTAGGTCTTCATTAGATGTAAGCAGCATTCTTCTCCCATATTCACTGATGCTGTGCCAACTCAATCCGCAGATCTCTCTCTACCTCTAAACTAAATGAAACCCAGAAGTAAATGAAACGCAGACCATACAAGTAAGATTTGTATTGTTCCATTTAAATCTATAATGGCATTTACAGTTAAACTAAGGGTTACAAACTGAACCTGCTCTTCATTAGATGTAAGCAGCATTCTTCTCCCATATTCACTGATGCTGTGCCAACTCAATCCGCAGATCTCTCTCTACCTCTAAACTAAATGAAACCCAGAAGTAAATGAAACGCAGACCATACAAGTAAGATTTGTATTGTTCCATTTAAATCTATAATGGCATTTACAGTTAAACTAAGGGTTACAAACTGAACCTGCCCGTTCTTATGTATTTGCTTTACTTGAGCAGTTCTACTGAAAGTAATAAAGCTACTGTATTTTTAAGATTAAGCTGGTACACTGCTTTGCCAAATATTATCATTTAACAAGAATTTTAGCTTGGCGCTGCCCTTCACCATATGCAAAATAATATAAAGATGATTTCTAAATGAGTTACTGAAACAGTACATGGTGTTCCTGTAACCTGTCTTTTCACATAAGTACTAAATATATCTCAAAAAATAAATAAAGACAACTTCCACTTAACCATTTTCCTCCTTTTATCAACAGAATTCAGTGGGCATTGATCTTAGCTAGAATGACTAGGCCATTGGAGGGGGTGGGCGGAACAGCTGTCACTAAAAACATCTGCTACCTGTGAGTCCAGTGAGCCACCAGTGACTATTGCCTTTCACAATTTTTGTCCACGGACAAAATATTTCTTCCATTGCCTCTTGATACCATCCCTCACAGCTCGAGCACCTCCTCTCCCCACTACTCACTTCCTCACATACTGTACGCCAGGACCTGACCCACTCAGACCCTCTCTTTCCTTTAGGAACTCAACCTTACCCTCAGTCCCAGGCTATTCACATTCTTCTCTCCCCAAACAGATCACACTGACTCATCAAAGATTGACTGTCCTCCCCTACCAGGGACTCAGCTTCGTCTTAATCCCCCTTCTATGGCTAAAACCCTCTTACACAGAGACCAAAATACACCTCCACCTGGCACTCCCCACACCTACCACTGGCCAAAAGCCATCTACTCTGACCACCATCAATCACCTGTTAAAAGCAAACTTCCCCAGGCCCAATACTTAGCCACTCACCTACAACCCATGCCAACGAACTGCGTTTGAGCCCTTTCACACGCTCGTGGCACCTCTAGTCAAGAAACCTTTCAAAGCTCACCATTCAACCTCCTACACCACCAGCCACATTGCCTTTCACAATTTTTGTCCACGGACAAAATATTTCTTCCATTGCCTCTTGATACCATCCCTCACAGCTCGAGCACCTCCTCTCCCCACTACTCACTTCCTCACATACTGTACGCCAGGACCTGACCCACTCAGACCCTCTCTTTCCTTTAGGAACTCAACCTTACCCTCAGTCCCAGGCTATTCACATTCTTCTCTCCCCAAACAGATCACACTGACTCATCAAAGATTGACTGTCCTCCCCTACCAGGGACTCAGCTTCGTCTTAATCCCCCTTCTATGGCTAAAACCCTCTTACACAGAGACCAAAATACACCTCCACCTGGCACTCCCCACACCTACCACTGGCCAAAAGCCATCTACTCTGACCACCATCAATCACCTGTTAAAAGCAAACTTCCCCAGGCCCAATACTTAGCCACTCACCTACAACCCATGCCAACGAACTGCGTTTGAGCCCTTTCACACGCTCGTGGCACCTCTAGTCAAGAAACCTTTCAAAGCTCACCATTCAACCTCCTACACACACCAGCCACTCTCTACACTTCCATTATTTTTTCGTATAATCCACTGCCCTTTAAAGCTCCCCAAAAACCTGTCGTGGCCACCCATTCAAATCCCAGAGATTTCCCCCAGAGACACCGCCCCATGGAGGGTACATAAAGCTCCACATCACCCACCAGAGACTCCTCTCCACACAGCGCACGAAACCTCCTCCAAACCGCCACTGACTCCCCAAGCACATGTAGGGACCCACTTCACGGATGCCCACAAACACTCAAGGACGTGCCCTAACGCTTGTCCCTCTCTTCCACGCCCAGTGGGGACCCCCACCTTCCTGCCACTGACCCCACGCACACCCGGGAGCCTCCCACACCACCAACCACCGCCCGCGCCCACAGCTGGACACTCCTACTGCGCACCTCCGGGTACCCCGGCGCTGCTCCCCGGGCACCGAGAGCCCCCCACCCGCGCTGCCCCGCGCGTACCTCTGGGCAGCCCCACACCGATGGCTGCTCCCCACCACATCCCCACACGTACTGTCCCTTAGGCCCGTCCCTTCCTCCACGGGTGTACAGTGCCTCCGACCCCGAC